CAAAACTGGCAAAAACGAATTGACTTTTGTTTTTACTCCTTTGTAAAATATTTATTTTATTTTTTTAAGCACAAGTTACTTATATTATATAATTCAAATTATCATTTCTAAATTGAATGTTCTAAAAATTATATTTTAGGGAAGCTACTTTCTTTTTTGGCGTCATATGTTTTTTCTTTAATATTGTTTACTCGAGAATCTTTACATAAGTTGGAAAAATATAATAAAGTTTCATTTTTCATTAGGAAAAAACGATTATTTTCAATTGAATTTCATATTTATTCATATCTTGGAAATGCTACATAAAATTTTAAAAATAATAATTTTATAAATATTATATTACAATTTAATCCACCAATACAAAATATCATCCAATTCTATGGATTTTTCGTTTTTTCTGACACTTCACTTCCGATCGCCACACCTATATTTTAAAGACCTCTGGACATCAAACGACCGTTTAATTTTTTATTTTTCACTTTTTGATTGGAGAATTTTGATATTTTAATATAATAATTATATTATAATAATCTACAAATGAATGTGGATAAGAAAATAGTAATATTATAAACAAATATGAAGAAAATAAAAAATATGCTTTTCTAAAACGATCAAAATTCACCTTTTTGTACGCGAGTAAGGTCAAAATAAATCAACATTTTATCAAAATCTAGCGCCAGAATCTTTATAATAATTTGATATTTTAATACATGCACGAATCTTGATCTATGTTTAGAATATCAGACTTTTTTAACAGAGATTGCGTCATGCCCAGAGGTCTTATTTTAATAAAAGCATATTTTAAACAAAAAATATCAAAAATTATATTAACGCATTTTTTTAAAATAAAAATATCAAGTATGCGTCCTTAATTCAAAGATAAAAATGTTTTTTAAATTAACTAAGTTTGTTTAGTCCTTTTGTCCAGGACTTTGCACAAGTCTATTTGAGAAAAATTGCTTAAAATAGTGTCAGTCTTCAAATTTTCAAAACCAATTTTTTTAGCCAGTATCAAAAATAAAAGTATTTAATTAGCTTTAAATGATTTGGTAGGATACAGCTAATTATTTTATGTTTCCATATTTTGGAAAATGCAGTTTTCTAAAAAAACAAAAATATCTGATTTTCCATTATTTGAAATTTTATAATAATTTTTAATTATAATAGAAATTAATATATCTAAATAATTAATAATATTAAAAATATATTCATTATATATTGAGATATATACAAAATATACCAAAATTTTTAAAGTATTCAATTCGCCGACCTACCTTTTATGAACGTAAAAATCAAAAAATTGAGAAAATTATTTAAAAAAACTATAATTTTCAGAAAAATTGAGAGAATCAAATTAATTAAAATTGAATCATTATCAAAATAATTGATCTTATTCTCCTGAGTTAACAATTAATTTTATTCAAAAAAATAGTAAATTATTGCAATTAAAGTATATAGATATTGGAAAAATACTTAAGATTTATATTAATTATTGTTTGAAAGAAAAATATTAAATCATTTTATAAAAAAAGCATGGCAATAATAAATAATAATTTGCTATATTTCATAAAAATATAGAAAAGTAATATATTAATATAAAAAAATAAATTGTTGAAAAGATATCACTTGAAAAATAAATATGCAATTATTCATATCACATATTATATTAAATAAAAATGATTGAATTTTTTTCAATATCTTTTGAAAATTGTGAAAAACCAGCCAAATGTAGTATAAAGTTTAATTGACCAAATAAAAAAACACGTATTTGGTGATAATTAGTATTAATATATATAATTCTAAAGAGAAATCAACATTTTAAACTTTTTATTACAATCAGAAATAAATCATTCAATAATTATTCATATCACATCATATTTTTTTTTATTTCTGAGGTCTTTCAAATACATCAATTTTGAATATCCTATCGTTGTATGTTTCGAATTATATTATGGAAAGTTACATACTTTTTTTTTCTTGTATTTGAATATATAGTGAATTTTTTTTTTTTTCAATGTGTATTCAATTATGATATAAATCTTTATATCATTTCTCAAAATTCTATATTATTCATGCAGTACGCTGCAAATATAAAAGGTAACAATACAATGACAAATGATTTAGTAAAAGATACAATTGAGAAGTCAATGGGTATTAGTTCCAGTTTTCCTTTAAATATGAATCAAAATACATTTCAAAATCAGATTTTTTCTCAACCTTCAAAAAAATCGCATCCAAAATGTAAATTTACTGCAGAAGAAGATGAAATGTTAAAAAAATTAGTCAGCAATTATATCAATTCAAATTATCAAACAAATGATTTGCAAATTGATTCAGAATTTTTGTCTGAAAAAAAGAATGAAATTGATAATGGAGATGTTTCGTTGATGTCCAACTTTGATTGGAATGAAATTGCACTAAAAATGAAAACCGGTAGAAATGCTCGTCAATGTCGTGAAAGATGGCTAAATTATCTCTCACCATCTGTTGTTAACGGTCCATGGACAGCTGAAGAAGAAGAACTTCTTTGCAACAAATATAATGAAATGGGACCTCATTGGAAAAAGATTGCATTTTATTTCCCTACAAGAACAGACATTAATATTAAAAGTCACTATCACCTTTTAGAAAGGCGAAAAAGAAAAGAAGAAAAGAAAAAAGAAAAAGCTATTCAAAAACAGAAAGAAATTGAAGAAATGAATAATCGGAATCAGCTCATTAACAGTATACAAAATAATATAAACAGAGATATGAATGGTTTTACTCAAGCCTTAAACTCAGTTATTCCAATGACTGGTCTTCAAAAAATTTCAACAAGCCCACTTCCTTTTATTCAATATCAAAACATTAATCGTGATATAATGTTTAATACTAATTGTGGGGCGTTTTATAATATGCCTCAAAATAAAAATATTAAAAAAAATCAAAAATCAAATTCAATAAAGGAGCAAAACCTAAATCATCAAAAAGATCTTAGTAAAATAGTGATTGATAATTTCTCAGAACCTAACTCTCCTGAAACTTCATCTTTTATCTCACTTGCAGAAAAAGAATTTGAACAGAGTGCTAATGAATGCTGGAATTCATTGTTGATGAATAATGAAAGCAATGAAATAGATGAATTTTTTGATACATGGCTCTAAACTTTCTTTGTTAGATGAATATCTTTCTCATATTTATAATAAATATTTCTTATCTTTATCACTATGCATCATTATTTATTTTGAATTCGATAACAGTGTTTGTTTTTGAGAAAACTGAACAATATATATATATATTACGAATATTATATTTGAGATTTTTCTGATAGGTAATAACTAACTTTTTCATTGACTAAAGATTGACTTTAGTGAGCAGAAATTAACTAAAATTCATCTGTTCTAACCCTGTTTCTCATTCATATATTTAATTGTTTACGAGCAAAAGGTGATTCTTCCAAAAAAAAAAAAAAAAAAAGAAAATAACATCACTTAACTTTTACTACTTCTTTTTGATACAGGTCTAAATATGATCTTTAGAACATTCATTACAGATCATTTTTCTGATTGATAATATTAACAATTTATTCATACAATTATTTATAAAAATAAAGTGGTTATTTGTTGTTTTTCTTATTTTTTTTTATTTATTATGAAGATATTCATGTTTAATTTTTTGCGGTTTTTTTAACAAATTTGTATATCATTCAATTTTTGAATTTTAACGTTTGATAAAAAATTTTTCAAAAGATGCAAAATCCTCTTTTATTTCGCATTTATCAAAATCTTCACGAACAGAGTAACTCCTACAATGATGATGCTAAAATAGAACCTAATTCAAATCATCAATATACGATTTCAACAATATCTCCAAATATGGAAGCGTTTCTTAATCATCAATTTTATGAACGACCCTTTATTTCGCCTAAGTTTGATTTAGAAGATCTTGATTGTTTACGAGGATGCCAATGGATTGATGATGCAGTTCTTAACTCTTATCTATCTATTTGCTACAATCAAATTAGCGAAAATGATGAGCGTAAGATTGGATTAACAAACACATTCTTTATGAAAAAAGTTGAAAGGGATGGATTTCAGGCAGCTTCTGATTGGCAAGGAATTAAAGGACAACCTATTAATAATTACGATTTTTTTTTTGTTCCAATTTGTCACGGTCATCATTGGATTCTTGCTGTAGTCGATTTTATAAATAATGAAATTAAGATTTATGATTCGCTTCATGGCCAATACTCAAAAGTTGTTAAAACATTAAATGGATTTTTACAGTTTCAAGGAATTAAACCTTTAAATGCTACATATCCTATGGTTCCATCACAGTATAATGGATATGATTGTGGCGTATTTGTGATGGAATTTGGAAGATGCTTACTTCTTCGTGAAAACATTAATTCATTTAGTCAAAAAGATATCCCTGGGGCTCGAGAAAGAATTTATTCGGAATTATATGAATATCTTAACAAATAAAATACATTGTTGTTATTAATAAATCTCAGTCTGATTGAAAATATACTATGCTTTTTTTTTTTTTTTTTATTTAAACGTATTAGAAAGTTTGGAAATTTCTTTTTGCATTCACTCAAAAATGTGTGAACACAAAAACTCTTAAAAAAAAATTGTGTTCGAGTGATAAGTCAATAAATATGCTGTGTTTAATGTTTTTATAGATAAATTATTATATTATAAATATTGATAATATTAAAAATTATATTTTTATTTTTTAATAACATTTTCAGCATAAGATATTAATATTTATTTTTTAGCATATCATTCAAAAAGTTGATTTTGATGATTATAAAAATCATTCTTACCATTAATATTTTTCTGTGTTCAGTGTTGTATCAAGATGGCCAAAGGACAATGATTACAAAAATACCTTGAACACAAAAAAATATCAAAGAAACACGATTTTGTGTTTTGTGTTCACATATTTTTGAGTGATTTTATTAATAAAATGCAAATGAACTTATTGTTAGATATAAATCATTTTACAAAAAAATGAAATCTCTTGTGGTGTAGTGGTTATCATATGGGACTTTGAATCCCGGGATGGAGGTTCGATTCCTCCCAAGAGAAAACTTTTTTTTATTTTTAAAATAATTTGCATTTATGATTAATAAGAAACATTTACTAACAACAATAACTAAAATTCTTATATAAGATAATTAAATATAATTACTTTGATATAGGAGAAAAAGAACACATTTTTGTCCCTGCATTAATAAAAAGTGTAAAATTTTTTGTTAATGAGGAAATTGCCAAAATCGAAATTGATATACTTTTTGCATTTGGCAACGATACCACAATGAGATTTTGGCAGTTATCGAAACATTTTTGACCAATATATAAATCATCACCCAAAAATTCTATTGATTCCAACATTTTGCATGAAATAAAAGCAGCATTACAGATCTTATTTACATTTCTAGGAATTATAATTCTTTTCAAGGATGACCAGGAAAATGTTCCCTCATTAATTAAAGAGAGTTCTGAATTATCTGGAAATAGAACTGTTTGCAAATTATTACAGCCACAAAAAGCGAAATCACCTATTTTAGCAACATGATTAGGAATCAAAATTTTCTTTAGAGAAGATCCAGAAAAAGCTCTTTCATCAATTGAGAGAAGTTCTGAATTTTCTGAGAAATCGACCATTTTTAAATTCAAACACCTTGAGAAAGAAAAAGATCCAATTTTTCTGATAAATGAAGGAATGACAACTTTTTCAATATCACGAGAAGCAAAAGTAAGGACATCAAAATTTTCATCTTTTCCAGATTTGAAAGCGATCATTTTCTTATCGTCATCAATGTATGAAAAGTGACCATTATGAGGTGACAAATAAAGATGAGTTAATTTAGATGTGCAGCTGCACCAATCTTCCTTAAGCTCGATTACAGAAGGAGGAATAAAAAGTGTTTCTAATGAAGATCCAATGAAGGCCTTTGAATCAATTGTGAGCAATTGTGAGCCCTCTGAAAATTCAATAGATTTGAGATGTTTACATTCTGAAAAAGCTTCCACACCGATGTATTTGACAGAGGGAGGAATCGTGATTTTCTCCAGTGACGAACAAGAAAAAGCTCCTTCATCAATTGAGAGGAGCTCTGAATTTTTTGAGAACTCAACCGTTTTTAGATTGAAACATTCATCGAAAGCAAAGGAATTAATTCGTTTAACTGATGCAGGAATGATTGCTTCTTTGATGTCCCGTCTAGCGAAGACCAGAATATCAAAAGCATTCAAATTTTCAGTTGATTTTCCGAGAATCAATTTATTATCGTAGAAAACAAACCGTTTATTCAAAGGTGATATCACCACTTTATTCAATTTTGATGTCCCGCAACACCAGCCTTCTTTCAACTCAACTACTTTTGAAGGGACCGATAGGCATTCAATTGTTGAATGTAAAAACGAATATTTTTCAATTGATGTAAGCTTTGAATCTTCACAAAAGTCGATCGTTTTTAGATGTTGGCATTCATCAAATGCAAATGGATTTATTCGTGTGATTGTTGCAGGAATTACAACATGCTTCACATCTCGTGCTACAAAAACAAGAACGTCATAAATATTTTTTGTCAAATCTGACTTTTTTGCAATCATTTTTCGTTCTTTATCGGCATATGAAAAATATTCATTTTTCTGAGAAACCATCAAACATGTCAGTTTTGGTGTCCCACAGCACCAGCCTTCTTTCAATTCTTCAACGCTCGATGGTATTGAAATGCTCTCAATTGATGATCGTGTAAAAACGTCCTTATCAATTGAATGAAGCTCACAATTTTCTGTAAATTTAATAGTCTTGAGATTGTAGCATAGAAAGAAGGCATGCTCGCCTATGTAAGTAACATGGCTGGGAATGGTGATGCTTTGTAATGAAGAATTATAAAAGGCACCTTTGTCAATTGAACGTAATTCTGAATTATCTGAAAATCTGATGGTCTTTATGGTTTGGTTGTTCTTAAATGAACATATGTTAATTTGAGTGATGATGTATTTGATTGATTGATGTTTGATCGATCGAGGAATATAAATGTCACCACGGGCTCCTGGAGAATTGATAACTTTGGCTGTATGATCATTATTTGATAATTCAAAATTTATTCCATCTTTTTGTATTGTTATCATTCTCTGAGGAAAATGAAACGATACCACTTTTTCAATACAATAACAATCATCAATCATCTTTTTTGACTACTAACCAAAGATGGTTTATTATTTTTATTATAAAAAAATGCACAAATAATAATAAAAAAAGAATTGAAAGCATATAACGGTTTTCTACTTCAAAAATGATTTTCTTTATTCTACAAATATATATGAATCCACCACTTGGAGCATTACCAAATACATGGGGAAGATATACCGATTTTATTGATGTCGATAAACAAACTTTTAGATGCTTTAGCGATAATAAGATTATTAATTTATCTCAAGTAAACGATAATTATCTCGACTGCAACGATGGATCAGATGAACCTGGAACGGCAATTCTATCAAATGGCAAATTTCATTGCAAAAACGAAGGAAGTGTACCAAAAATCATTAATTCTTGGAGTGTCGGAGATGGGATCTGCGATTGTTGTGACGGATCTGATGAATTATTAAATCCTCATGCTAATTGTTTAAATGTTTGTGGCCCTATAAAAAATCAAGTTTCTGAAATCAATACAACATTGAAAAACAATGAATCTCAATTATTTAAAACTCATGAAGATAATAAAAAAGAATCAACTTCATTCAAGAATCAGCCAAAATTTTCAAAAAGTGATATTCAGAATTCAGATAACGAAATTATCACAGAAGCAGACATAAACAGGGTAAAGTTCAAATATAAGACAAAGAATCTTTCACTTATAGAATATATATTTATTTCTTTATGGAAAGATTTCATATAGTTTTTTATTCCCCAGCTTTAACATCATTAGTTTTTACAATGTGTTGTTATTTAATGTTTTGTAATTAAACCAATATTATTTTAATAATCTGATTTTTTCTAATCTGTATGGTGATATTTGAGTATTAGTTTTCATTCATAAATTTTGTAACAAAGCTTTATTTTTTTTTTTTTTTTCAAAAACTTTTTCTGAACTTTTCGATTTACGTTTAAAAAGAATTTAAAAATACACATGAAAAAACGAGTCATACTTTTTAGTTCTAGCGAATACAGTGATTCTCAGAAATTAAAAACTATACCTCAAGTAAGAGATCCTAATAAAAAAGTTTATTTACAGTCAGATTATTCAGATTCATATTATTACGATTATTCATCGCCTCAAGAAGAGAAAATCGCCATTAAGAAAACAGAAAAGCCCATTGCAAGACCTCCAATAAAGCGCAATGTTAGCCTTCAACAGAGAAATTTACACCAAAGACCAATCGTTAAACAAGCCAATAACAATCATCAAATAAATTCAAACCAAAATGATAATAGAGGAGAAAAATCTAGTATCAACAATGCAAATAAAAGACCAAATAGACCTCCACCAAGATCTATCAATCAAAATCAACATACTCAACAAACTCAAAAAGCAAATATCCAAAAGTCATCATCGGCCCCATCTAATCAAATATCAACGAATGATGAATATGATTATGATTATGATTATGAATATAGTAATGATCAAATAAATGATCAAAAACCTCAAGATTCTAATGAAATAAACACTAAAATATATTGTTCACCTCATGAAATGAAAGTTGTGGAAGTTAAAACCCCAGAAAAAAAGGAAAAAATAGTTGAGGATGACGATAATGCCGTAATCATGTCTCCTCAAGATGACAATTATATTCCTCCTCCTAGCGCTAATTTAAGTCCTCTTAGAGCATTAGAAACATCATCAATTTCACAGCAATCATTCGACTCAATTACATATTCAGTTCAAAGAACATCCAAAATTAGAGTTCATGGAAAAAGCTACATATTTTCTTTAATCAAAGAAGGAAATCCTGTTCTTTACTCAAAATCAAATTCAAGGCATCCAAAAGGAATGATGCCAATATCAGCAAATAAAGATATCCACATTAGAAATTCTGGAAACACAGAATATTCAATTACAGCAGAAAACAATTGCACAAAATTTATTGTTAAATCACTTCAACAAAATATATTAACATTTAGTATTTCGCCAGGCCAGAATGAATACTCAAAGTTACCACACTTAAACGTTTCTATCGACAATTCTTTTGATTTTACACCCAAAGAAATGACATCAAAAAGACCACAGATGAGTAAAAGAGGATTTTGGTTTCTTGATTTTCACAACAAATTCACATTACCAAGTGAAAAAAATGCAATTTTTATACCAACCAATCCTGCATTGGGCGGCGATGATATAATCGTTGTCAGAAAAATAGCAAAAGATCGAATCGAAATTGATGTAAATCATGAGGCTGCTGATATTATTGTTTTTGGTATCGGACTTTCCACCTTTTTAGCTAAGCTGAAGTAATGTTATTTGTATTAATTAAAAATATTTTAATTTTTTCAAAAAATATAACGTTTTTACATATTAAAAATTGAATGCAAATCTGGTCAATCAAAACTACTAAATGAAAACTTTTATTTAAATATACAAATAGGAGAAAAAAAAAAAAAAAAAAAAAATATTTTTCTATTTATTGTCATTATAACGAGAAGAAAAAATATTATCACTAATAGAATTGAACATTGAACGCATATCCTTATCCTTATATGTCTGTCTCGGCGAAGCTGGCTGTTTTGGCCTTTTATGACCTGTCTTTGTTGGACTTGTCTCAACCGGACTTAAATTTGCTTTTTCAGCATTTCTTGTTGGCGTAGCTTTTTTGTATCTCAATTTTCCTGTAGATTCCAGAGTTGCGTCACTTTTTTGACTTTTTGCAGGATTCATATTTTGTTGCTGCTGTTGCCTCGGCGGACTTAATTTCCTCTTTTTTTCACTTATTAAAGTTTCATTCATTCTCTTGTAAGCATTCTTTCTTTGCTGTAAATCTTTTGATGGCGGCTGCTCGTAACTAACTTCTCTTGGCCTTCTTCTGGGCGAATTTGGCTTGTGCTTTGTGACTCTGTCTGAGTTGCTGTGTGGACTTTG